GAGCCGTTCACGTTTGAACTCATGTGACTTGCTGCATGCTCTCATTCACGTCCTCCACATTCATAACCCAGCCACGTCGGGTTACTTATTACTGATATCAACCCAAATTGGGTCAAATCAAGCCAGCTTCCTAACCCAACAGTCTCAACCGAGCGTTTGGATTGAAACAATTACCAGCTTGTTTTATACGTGTAGGCTATAAAAAAGTACACAGTGTATGTTTTTGCTAAATCGCTTGCAAATATAAGATTGTTAGGTCATACATACCCCGTAATATTAGAATAGGTACCCCCTTAGTTTCAAAATACTTACAGTAGAAATAATTTGTAATTTTACAGATTATTACTCCTTTATTCCCCAAACTTCGCATGTTGTTACCTTATACCTACACGGAGGTACTGAATAGGTACACGTAATTACAAAAAAGTTACGCTATAAATTCTGTTTACTTACGCAGTACATTGCGGGTTGCAATCTAAAGCGTTACCCCACTTTTTATAAAACAGAAGGCTGATGTGTTCATTTAGATCAGTGTCTCTGTCCCTCTGGGGGCGGGGAAGAGAGATTCTTACATTCTAAATTTACAATAATATTTATGTTAATTTGAGGTGATGGAGCTCAGCACTGTGTGTGTGTGAGTGTGTATTGTGTTGTAGGTTAGTGGTTATATGTGACAGGAACACACACACTCACTCACTCACACACACTCACTCACACACACACACACACACACACACACACTCTGCTGTTTTCTCTTGATGCTGCAGCATGTTGATGGTTGTGATTGTATCATTAGTTTAATGTCAGACTGCAGATGTATGATGCTGATGTCTGTCTGTCTGTGCACATGTCTAGGTAGAAACATAGACACACACACACACACACACACACAGTTTTGTTGTTCCAGTGCAGCTGGTTGAATCCTGATGGACACCAGTGGCAGACACTTGCGTTAGTTTCATCATCTTATGAAACGCTGACAAACAGGAAGAGAAACCAGAGAGAATCATTTAGAAAGTCAGAGGCTGAAGTCTCACAAGTGTCTCCTGACATCTCAACAGTCTCTCTGGATTCTCCAGCGTCTCTTTCAGGGGCCTTCAACATCGACACTGAACATCCACTGAGATTTAACGGCACGCCGGAAGATTTCTTTGGTTACAGTGTTTATCAGACTGAGTTTGGAAACAGGAAACAGTGAGTCACACAGTGTTTCCTGACTGTCTGATTGTTTGTGCGGTGTGGTTGTGTTTCTCAGGATCATTGTTGGAGCTCCATTAGAAGGAAACTCAACAGGGGAGATGTACAGCTGCTCTGCAGATCTGCAGTCCTGCAAACGGCTGCAGCGGCCAGGTATCAGCTTCACAGCCCATCTATCAGTGATTGCTGTGGACTTTCACTGCTTTATACTGAGCTGATGACACTCCTCTCTCTCTCTCTCTCTGCTGGGGTTTGACAGGTTCAGAGAGCGTCCGCTTCTTCGGCATGTCTGCTGCTGTGTCTTCTGCTGCTCTCACTGTAAGTTCAGTGTCTCGGACAGTCAAACCTCCTTCATGAGATGTTAATGTTCACAGAATGCTCAGGTACCATTAAATATGGTATATGGAAAATACAAACATGGGATTGTAAAGTATTACAGAGAAACTAAGCTGAGTATGTTAAGGTCATTACTGAACATTATAAAAATGCAAGCTGAACCATAATTACAGCTTTTTTATGAGTATAATGTTTATATTTTTAATAAATAAGTGATGGCTATTTTCTAGCACTGGTTTCAGCTGATTTTGTGATCTGCTGAAGCTGCTGATGTGTCAGATTCCGTGTGTCTCTTTCTCAGAGCTGCAGTCCGTATTTTCCTCATGAGTGTGATGGAAACTCGTATCTGAACGGCGTGTGCTACCAATTCAGCAGCAGCTTACAGGCCGTCTCCAACTTCACCGCCGCTTACCAAGGTCTGATGAGTGTCTCACACAAACCAAGACTTAAGTTTAACAATCTCAGGATTCGTGTGTGTGTGTAAAACAATAATAAAACTATGACTAAACAAAATGTTACTGTTTGTCATCGGCTGATGACTCTGTGACGTATCTGAACTTCTCTCTGGAGGACAGAGGTCCAAAGCCTCTCAACATCATCTACAAGGTCAGAGAGTCAAAGAAACATGTTCAGTTTCCCTCAAGTACAGCATTTTTTTCATGTTACATTAAAATTATTAGTCTGTGAACTAGAGTACAGATGTGACACAAGGTGATTCAGACCGATCAGATTGCTGTGTATCTGTGTGTCTGTATGTTTGTGTGTTTGCAGGTGGAGAATCTGGGTGTTAAAGGTCTGCCAGTGTCAGTCACACTCACCCTGCCCTGTCAAACTACACATGTGATTTTAACCCCTCACAACTTCAGCATGCAGGAGGTGCATCACTCGTTCATCAGCTCATACCATCAAATCATCATGTGTTTGTTGAATAAACATCTTCTGTTCTTCTCTCCAGAATTCAGTGCTGTGCAACTTCAAGCCAGAACCACGGATACGAGATCATAGACCACTTTTACAACTGGTATTCGTTCACGAAAAATTATTTTTCGGTCATAATTTGTCTCGCCCTCATGCTGCTACAAACCACTGACTAACAAACACTGAAACATTTCATAAAATATCTTCTTTAATGTGAAGATATTTTCTGAAGAAAGAAACTCATTAAATTTTTTTTGTACGACATGAGGATGAATAAATGATGACAGAATGAAAATTTTAAGCTGAATGTTCCTATTAAGATCAGATCACATGCAGTCACAGTAAACACATCTGAAATGCTCCTCTTTCTCCACTTCTGCCCCCTTGATTCTGTTCTGATATTTTCTTCTGGTTTATTGCTCTCAGTGCCTCAGTGTTTTCTTGATGTTTCAGGACGGTCACTGCGGGAAGTTTGAGTGTCATCAATTTCATCTGCAGAAATTTTCAGAAGTTCATTTTAACCTGACTGCATTCGCAGTTCTCCAAAACGAGAAGGAATACGAAAGCGTGAGGGATGAACACACACATCAACTGCAGCACTGCAAAATCATAAACACGTGAGACACACCTGAACTACAGCACTGCACAATCACAAACAGACACCTGAACTACAGCACTACACAATCACAAACAGACACCTGAACTACAGCACTACACAATCACAAACAGACACCTGAACTACAGCACTACACAATCACAAACAGACACCTGAACTACAGCACTACACAATCACAAACAGACACCTGAACTACAGCACTACACAATCACAAACAGACACCTGAACGACAGCACTGCACAATCACAAACACAGACACCTGAACTACAGCACTGCACAATCACAAACACAGACACCTGAACTACAGCACTGCACAATCACAAACAGACACCTGAACTACAGCACTGCACAATCACAAACAGACACCTGAACTACAGCACTGCACAATCACAAACACAGACACCTGAACTACAGCACTGCACAATCACAAACACAGACACCTGAACTACAGCACTGCACAATCACAAACACACACCTGAACTACAGCACTGCACAATCACAAACACACACCTGACCTACAGCACTGCACAATCACAAGCACTGCAAAGTCACAAACACCCACCTGAACTACAGCACTGCACAATCACAAACACAGACACCTGAACTACAGCACTGCACAATCACAAACACAGACACCTGAACTACAGCACTGCACAATCACAAACACAGACACCTGAACTGCAGCACTGCACAATCACAAACACACACCTGCACTACAGCACTGCATAATCACAAACACACACCTGAACTACAGCACTGCACAATCACAAACACACACCTGAACTACAGCACTGCACAATCACAAACAGACACACAAATGCTGTTTTTCAGAAACAGTCCCAAATGGTGTTTAAGATTAACTTCATTATTAAATTTAAAAACTTTTATTCTGCTGTAGAAATATTCCTTCTATGAGTTCAGAAGGGATATTGTGTTCAACGTCAGCCCTGAGCTCCACTACAACACAAGCCACTATAACCAGACATCAACTGGACTGAAGGTGAATCCACATCAGACATGAACCAATGATTAGCTGCTGTTTTATGTTAAGACAAATCTGAGATATACAGATGTACAATACCTGGAGGTCATTCACATAACCTGCATTCCATTTCACACTTTCAGATCCTTTAAAAATAATCAGACACCGGTGAAGTTTTTACTAGAACATAATGAAATATGTAGCATTGGGAAAGCTGCTTTTTGCAGCTACAATTGATGTTGTGCTTGTGCTGCCCTCTACAGACGAGCAGCTGCAGCACAGACTGTGTGTGATTATCAGTGTCAGTCTGAATTCACACCACAGACCTGCAGCTGGTGAGCTCGTCTGACAGTATTAGAGAGGCAGATTGTTCTATCACATATTTTTAACTAGAAAATATTTCTTCTTTTTTCTGCAGTACAATCCCCACAGATCCCAGGTACCCACCATCTCATTCATTCATTCATTCATTCATTCATTCAAAGATGATCAATATCTTCAGTGTAAATCTGAACTGTTATATCTCTGTACTAGTAGAGGTGTTTTGATAATTTTGAAAAAAAAAAATATTTTCTTTCTATCACTGTACTTCAATATATTTTATTTATACACTCTATGTATTTTATATGTGTTTATGTATTTAAAATATAAAAACCTATTTAGTGCCAGTGATTGTGATGATTTTCTCAGACTGCAGTGAAGGTGGAGTTTGTCGTTCCTCCCAGTCGAATGCTGATCGTCGGCACTGGTGTAGTGGGCGGGTTCATCTGCCTCATTATCATATTGTTCCTTCTGCTGAAGGTAAGAACCAATCCAGTCACTTTACAGTTGATCCCACCATTCACCTCTCAAATTCTCAATCCAATCTCTGTATTTGTGTGTGTGTGCGTGTGTGTGTGTGTAGTGCGGGTTTTTTAAACGAAATCGCCCTGATGAGTTTTTTCAAGAGGATGAAAATGTAACTGCGGTTGAAGACTCTCCTCTCATGAACGTGAAAGCTAAAGAAAACAGAGTCAGTGAGAACGACAGCGCAGAGAAAGAGAATGGAGCGAGAGAGACGAGCCCCAGTCCTGACCCTCCAAACGCAGACGAATAAAATCTCACTTTATTCCAACACAACAAAAGATGTTTGTTTTGAAGGAGCTGAAATGTCTTTTAATGGTCTAATTGTATGAATATATGATTTTAGTATGGTTCAGTATGTTTAGTTCAATGATATGCAGCTTGTGTTACCCAGTTTTGTTCTGATGATCACTTATATGGGTCTTTTTCTATTTAAAAAAAAAATTTGAGTTATAGTTTTTATTGATTTTAACTATAAGTAGATTAAATCTTTTTTTTTTCTTCTTGATCTTTTTAATGTCAAAGAAAGTGTTCTGTAAGTAACATTCACATTAAATATTGGTAGCCATTTGAAGAAGAGAAATGAATAATCAATCAGTATAAATAAATTAGTTAATTGAATGAGATGCTGATGTGCTTCAATAAATTGGAGTTAAGCATTCTTCTGCTTTTGGGTCCTTCCTTCCAGAGATCATTACAGAAATGTCATGTAAATGTTCTTTTGTGAAACTACTTTATTGGTAAATTCGCTGGGCAGAGCACGTTTCCGTGTGTGCACGAGTATTTGTCTGTACTGTATGTGTGTGTGTGTGTGTGTTTGTGAGAAAGAGTGTGAGAAAGAAAGCATGCTCTCCGTAGATAATAAAAGTGGAAATCATGAAAATAGTTTGTCATGTTTAATCCTATTGTTTGTTATATTTATTTGCTCAATGTCTTATGGGGTTTTGGTTCTTTTGCTGTTGTAGGTAGCCAGTAGTACTCTATTAAATATATATTTCTCTTCATTGTAATTGGGCCCCCGGATGCGTCTAGAATGCCTATGCATCAGAGTCCGTGTACGTTTTGATCATTTCATTTCCTATTTGGAATGCAATAACGAGAAATGGAAAAACGGCTCGTTTATTCGTTTTTCCGTTTAGTTTAACAAACGGAAAATAAGATTTTGACTCGATTTCTCATTTTTCGTTTGGGGTTTAAAAATCGGTTTATGGCTTCAATATTTCATTCGCACGTGTGGGCGGTGCTGAAACGCTCCTTTCATCTGATTGGTCGAATCGCTCCGCCTTCAGTACGGTCTTTTCATTCTTTCAGGCAGAATAAGAGTCAGTACGAGTGCGGCACTATAATGTCTGAAACCACCACTCACTGTTAATTACGCATAATATTTTAATCAGATTTTGCTGGGCACATAATTCGTGCTGCTGCGACTTGCAAGTGACCCCTTTAATGCGAGTTACAGTATGCTGACAGATTATTTCTAGGTAGCCTATTAGTATTGTATGAATATTGTCCCATTGATAAATACAGTGCAAATAGTTCCGTCTCTTTGGATAAAAGTGAAGTGGAAATAAAAATCAATAATAGACTGAACAGTTCCATGATAATATGTCCGTAACATTTAGGTCACATGACATGAACAAACCAATGGGAAACAAGACACATGACTAAGACAACCAATCAGAACATGACACAATGAACAGAGGAACCAATGGCATGAATACATGAGGGCAAGGGAAGCATGACACAAACAGGGACCATGACTAAACTCCAAAATAAAAGACATGAAAACATGAACAAGAAACACAACCCAAAACACCACATTACAGTGATGTTTTGCATGTTATGTGTGTTTTGTGGTTTTGTGTGTAGAGTTTTGGAAAATGGAGCCATAGTTTCAAAAACTGTATGTAAGCATTTTTTTTTATTGTAATGCACTCAAAAATACTAAACAACTCATTCAGGTTCAATAATAGTTGATCTCATTATTTAATAACCATAATATCAAAATCCATTACATTGATTAATTTGGGAACAGAGCCGATCCTCCCTATACACAAAGTACGCAAGCTGCGTAGGGCCCCCGAAACACCAGGGGGGCCCCTTGCTCTCAAAGAGGATTTAATGTCTCTTGCACGAGACAAAAAAAAAAGTAAGTTGAAAGCGTACCGAGCTGCGGAAGAGACACTGTTTCTCAAGTGCTTTCTGTGAGTGCGATTCAAGACGGAGTGAACACGGACAAAGGCGTTTCATTAATTCATAATCCCCCCTCCCCCCCGACACAGTTTTGCGTAGGGCCTCCAGAAGTCTAGGATCGGCACTGTTTGGGAATATTTTATTCTTTCAATAGAAGGTTGTAAGGACCTTCCTGCTTTAGCACATTGTGAATGTCGGTTAAGAGATTTGATGTGACTAATTTCATAGAAATATATATGTGGATTTACTCTCTTAAATAGTTATACTTTCTATTGTTCACATTGTTTTCAGGGAGGAACAGGATAGGATAATTTCTCAAGCTCTAGCTTTATTTATTACCATTATATGTATTTTAAAAAATCATTAATTGTCATATTTACGTGGTTAAGATGGCCTGCATATACATTGGATTAGTATGTTTTCTAATCAGGCACTGAATGGAGTGCACATTAAAGGTCCTTCCAACGGAATGAAGTTGCGATGAAAAATGTATTAAGTTCAGAATTAGGTAGGAGCATAACAGAATTTATGTTGCAGTTTTCGGAGGGACAGGTCTGTATAAACGTATTTGAGTTTTTTGTTCTCTCTCTCCATGGGGGCTGAATGTGGAAATGGAGGAGCTGAACATGCAGCAACGGATGAAGCTTCAGCCTTTATGTGCTGCAGCCTGGAATTAAACCACATCATGCTGGTTTGGTCTGGTCAAAGGAGAACTGGCCCCCGACTGAGCCTGGTTTCTCCCAAGGTTTTTTCTCCATTTCTGTCAGCGATGGAGTTTTGGTTCCTTTGGCTTGTTTAGTTGGGGACGCTTGACTGATTGCACAGACACTATTGAAGAGAGCTGAACTGGATGAAGACATCACTGAATCATGAACTGACTTTAGCTGAAAAATGACTCTGTTATTGTCCTCTTGCATTACTGACAAACTATTTTCATGTTTGACATTGTAAAGCTGCTTTGACACAATCAGTATTGTATAATTGTATAATTTGATTTGATGCTTTTTGCACAATACAATGACAATAAAGATTTTCTGTTCCTCATTTGTACTCACATCAAACTTATGTCTTTTCCCCTTCTACATATAATGTTTAATATGCTAATAAATTAGGCCCATGTGTGATTTTTCATTGCACCATTTTTGTGTGTTCCTTACAAAACATCACAGACATGCACATTGTTAAAAAACACAAATCCCGCATAATTTTAAAAAAATATTACTGTTATTGTGTCATGAAATGCAGTTCTAAGAGTATTTCAGGCGATCCACAGCGCAAAGTTGATGTTTTTCCTCAGCAACCAGCACGGATCAGCTCCAGGCATGACGAAGCGGATATCGTCCTCTTTTGGAAGACCAAACAAAGTAGTTTCGCTTTCACAACGAAGCACACAGCGCCTTCACGACATGGCGGCGGCGGAAACAACAATACTACAGCGAGAATAAAAGTTACGCCTTCTTTCTTTGCGTGAACATTTGGGCGGCGTTATGCAAATCTTCCCACATAGTGATGTAGATATGTGGGGGCGTGTTGGAACGAGCTGTTTTAGGTAGGCGTGGTTGACTCTTAACTTTTATAAAGAATATCTCTTTGGATTTGAGACTTTAGTCTTTGCAACTTTACAGATCTTCTTTATGCACCAAGAGCTTGTAACACTCCAAAGAGAAAGGAACAATTGAAATCGCATCATATGACCCCTTTAATATGTTTTAGATTTTTTTAATGAAAACGAAATGAGGGTTGTGTTTTATATTTTGAAGAAAACGAAAAGGCAGTGGTGCTTGATATAATTTCGTTTTATTGTAATGCGTGTACGCGTTGCATGAACCACATTTTTGCGGCTATTAATATGTTTAAAAGAAAACGAAAAGATGCAGTGGTGTTTGATATCATATTTCATCGTATTGTATACAGTGAAGATAACCAGAGTAGCCAAAGCGAGCTGACTGACGTAATCAAGTACTCTGCTGCTCCATTTGCAGAATTACCGGACTTGCGTCCTCGCGTCCTCAGGAGTTCGCACTTCTCCGAACTTTGCGTACTTGGTATTGAGAAACGGCCACTGTTTCGAAGCACTAGTGTGTCGTAAACTCGAGACGTGTCGAACTACCCATCCCTACCGTGAGTTCAAACTTTTCCATTAGAACCGAAAAGACGCCGGAAGTTAAAAACCCTAATAAAGGATCATATTTGACGGTAAGTTCGGTCACCAGTCTTTATTTAATATCGTGTCAGGTTGTTATATGATGTTCTGTGTATTTATAAGATCGTAACACTGCTGTACTTCACTGACAATAACAAAAACTGACGCCATGAAATGGATTCCATCGAAAGTGAAAGTAAATCTAACAGACTCAGTTTGATTTCCCTCATGATTTGACATCAGGATGTCGGGGATTTTCTAATCTTTACCGAAATTATGTCACTTATATTAAAAACGTAAAGGTATTTCCAACTGAAGCTAAATTTAGGTGATGGAACTTATCTGTAAAATTAGAAGAGCAAAATATTTTAATTCATTAAATGATTGCATGTGTTCATTGTGTTCATATGCAAACGTTCTGGCAATGTTCTCTCAAAGTAAAGAACAAACGTCTTTCCAGTAACCTTAATACAACATTTGCGGTCTGTTAGATCATAATTGAAATGTAAGTTATCTGTTAGCATAAAACGTTAGCATTAAAACATACTTATACATAATTCATCGAATGTTTTTTTTCTCTCCAGGACGTTCAGAAATCATTCAAAAGTAATGTTCCATAAATGTTCACAAAATGATAAAATGGAATGTTCCCTTAACGTTCGCATAACTAAGAAACATTTCGTATGTTCAAAAATATTTTTTTCATAACTTAATTGGAAGATTAGCAAGACATTCGGTAACACTTTATTTCGATAGTCCACTTTAGACATTCTATTAACAGTAAGTAACTTTGCAACTACATGTCAACTAGCAGTTAGTAGCGTATTAGTAGACTGTCTGCTTAATATCTTCTAACACTTTCTTTGTCAACTTATTCTGCTAACCCTAAACCTACCCTAAGTCTACTCTGAGAGTTAGTAGACATGTAGTTGCAACTTAATGAGAATTAGTTGACATGTAGTTGACATGTAGTTACAAAGTTACTTATAGTTAATAGAATGTCTAAAGTGGACTATCGAAATAAAGTGTAACCCGACATTCTTAGCTTGTAT